CCCGCCTCTGGTTCCTTGCATCTGGGCTTCAGTGACTCCTCAATCCTGCTGAGTCTCTCCTCACCTCCACCCAAGTTTGTGCCTTTCTGCACCTACCCATCTCTGATCTCTGTGTCCTTCCCCCCCAACCCTTGTGACCTCCCACCTCCTGCCTGTTGCTCTGGGCCATAGATCTCCTCTGCATGGTCCTCTGGGCTGCTTGTCATCCAGACCCTCCCCCTCCAGTGCCTTCCTGACTGAGTCCCCCTTCCTTCCAGAGCAGCTGACACCAGCTTCTGCATCATACAGTTATGACTATGACCCAGCCCCCTTGGATGCTGGGCATGTGGCAGCTGGTCATGGCCATGAAGTGATAGACTTGGAGGGGGAGGCGGAGGACAGGTGAGAGCTGCCCCCGCCCCCAACTCCCTCCTCTCACTTACCCTGGACCTGGCAGCGAGGGGAATGACTAATAGAGGGGTCAGCCTGCAGGTTTCCAGGAACGAGGTGGGGGAATCCATTCTCTCCTGACCCCTCTCCCCAGTCTACCCATCAGCACATCAGAGAAGAGCCTGTATGAGCACGGTGAGGCTGAGCCCTCCCAAGGACTCGGCCCCAGGGCAGAGCTGTCCATGAGGCCCACTAGGACTCTGTTAAAGGCAGAAATTATTCATGATGCTTGTTAAAGATGGCAAGGAAGACTTGATTCGAGGGAGAGAACTTGAATACGAGATAGTGGGACCATGCAGTGGGGTCTTACAGTAGAGATGGAAACAAGACCCAGCTCCCCAAGAACAAGTGGGGATTTGTAGCCAAGGACCGGGGTGGGGGGCGGTGGACGGAGAATTACTAACAGGAAGTATCGGGGATGAAGGGGGTGGGGATTCTGGCTGAATCCACCTAACAGTATTTCCGCTAAAGGCAGGCCAGGGTATCAGACCGCACCCCGGGGGTGGTGGGGAGGAGGAAACCGATTAGATATGGACAGTGATCAAGATATGGGGGGGGGGGGATTTCCAGCTTTAGCTAACGTGTCAGGGTTCTTGCTATAACCGGACAGTGCTGAAATAAACACAGAAGCCCAGAAGTTGAGCCGTAGCCAAAAAAGAGGAGCCTGAGTGGAGCTTGGTCAGAGAATCCTCGTCACTCCGAGGAAGGGGGGAGGAAGTGGGTGAGGCTGGGAAGGGGTGCCTGGCAGACTTCCTGGAGGAGATGAATCTTTTGGTTCTCAGTTACAGCAAGCTCCAGAGGTGTAAGCCACAGGTCAATTTTATCAGCTCGGGTACGTGCCAGCTCCCAGGGGTGGCTGCACAGTCAGGCATGAGGCTGCGTCTGCCCGAGCCCTGGGTCTCCAGTGTACACCAGCGGCAAAGGCTGCTTTGCACTCCCACTCAGCAAGCCCGGTGGGAATGCTTTTCCATCAGCGCCCACCAAAGTCCCAAAGGGTCAGGGCTGCGTCACCCTACACCAGGCCCCAGGAGCTTAGTCCCCGTGCATTTAACACAGTTAGTGCGAGAGCTGCTGGGCTTCTATGGCGACTGTTTCCATATTCGTTCTATTTTGTTTTCCATGTGCCTCCCTTTGGATTTACTGAATGCTTTTGTAGGCTTCCATTTTGATAACGCTGTTCCTGTTTTAGCATTATTTTTAATTTTGTTTATTTTCGAGAGAGAGAGAAAGAAAGAGAAAGAAAGCAAATGGGGCAGAGGCAGAGAGATGGGAAGAAAGGCTCCACGGTGACACAGTGCAGAGCCTGATGCAGGGCTCAAACTCACAAACTGTGAGATCATGACCTGTGCCGAAATCAAGGTTCAGACGCTCAACTGACTGAGCCACCCAGGCGCCCCAGCATTATTTTTTCCTTGTAGCTCCAGGGGTTACAAAATACGTTTTGAAAAAAAAAATTTTAATGTTTGTTTATTTTTGAGAGACAGAGAGAGGACAGAGCATGAGCGGGGGACGGGGAGGGAGAAAGAGGGAGACACAGAATCCGAAGCAGGCTCCAGGCTCCGAGCTGTCAGCACAGAGCGTGTCGCGGGGCTCGAACCCACGAACCTCGAGATCATGACCTGAGCCAAAGGTGGACACTTAACTGACTGAGCCGCCTAGGCGCCCCCATTACTTTCTACTCGTAGCTCCGGGGATTACAATATACATCCTTAAACTTTTGGGTTTACTTGGTGCGAATACCGTACTGCCTCACCAAAAACGTAGCAACTTTGAAGCCATTTCTGTCTATCGGTGATCCTCACCTGCCCCTCATGCTGTAGTTGGCCTGAGCCCGGCTTGACACCCACCCAGGCCTTGGACGCCCCTCCCTCCTGTATCTGCTTGCTGTCTCCAGTGCCTGCTCAGAGGTTGAGTTTTGCGGTGGGGGGAGGTAGTTATTAAACTTTTCAATTTGAGGTAATCCTGGGTTCCCACGCGGTTGTCAGAGATAACACAGAGACCCCTCAGGTGCCCTTCACCCAGTCCCACATGTGGTGACATCCGGCCGATGAGTCTGAAGACAGTGTCACACAGGAGATTGATGTCCATACCTCCTGTGTTCATATGTCACCGCTTTGGCAGTCGAGCCTGTGATACTTCCCCACACGTAGATTTGTGTCATCGCCGCCATAATCGAGATACAGAACAGCTGCTCTGTAGTGATGCCCACCCGGCCCCTGTCCTTAGCTTGTCGTTTCAGGAGTGCAGTGTAAATGGAAGCCTTTTGGGATTGGCCTTTCTCACTCAGAGTTCCCTGGCCTCCCGCCCACATTGTTGTGTGCAGCGAACAATCTCTCCCGTCACCGTGACCCGGGGGGGTGGGCAGGGTCCTGAGGGTCCGGGCCCGGCCACATGCCCCCCGACCCCTCTCCAGGAAGGATGCACCTGCCCCAGTGGGCAGGAGCGGCCAGGCTGAGCCATGACGTGGAGGCAGGTTCCCGAGGGAACCCGGCAGCCCACGGGGTCTTTCTTTCTCTCTTCAGTCAGAGTGGCTTCTCTTCCTGATGCTCGGAGCAGGAGGACTTGATGTGGCTGCATCCTGTCACTGTCACTGCCTGCCGGAAGGAGGTCACTGACGGGAGAGCTCCCTTGACTCGCTGGTGGGCTGGCAGACCCCACCCCAGGTGACCCCAGCCTCCCAAGGAACCTGATAAACAACACAGCGACCTGCCTTGGTGGATGACGGGCCTCCTCCCAGCCCTCCCCCAACGAGAGGGTCGGCCTCGATCCCCCCACCTCCCCAGCTGCACCTGGGGCTGGCGGTCCCCCCCCTCCTCACGCTCCGGGAGAGGAGCCGTTCCTGGGAAGGACCCGTGGCCAGAGGCCTGTGTTGGAGGAGACATGGCGACGTTTAGCCAAGTCAGGGACATAGACAGCATCCATGCCTTCGCCACTGACTTCAGGTGGGACAGCCTTGCTCCGAAACGCAACGCTCTGGCCCCCTTTGGGGCCCCTGGGCTGCTGAGCCCCTGGACCTAGACCCCAAATCCTCCCATAACTGTTACGGTCCCCCCGCACACCCCCTGTCTCCCCCCAGGGGTCCCTGAATGTTGGGTCTTGACAGCGCCAGCCCCGGAGGGCAAGCCAATGGCTCTGACAGATACACCATCAGCTTCCTGTCTCCAGGGCTAGGCCGGCTTCTCACCTCAGGGCCTCACCCCTCCCTGGACCCCCTGATCGCAGGGACTGCCCTCTCCCTGCTCCATGACCGACCTGCCTTCCCTGGGGGACCCTCCCAGCTGTCAGATTCCTGTTTGTAACCCCCAGGGGATGCCTTGTCTCTGCTTCCTCCCTCGCATTGTCTGTCTCCGCCCCCCTCCCCTCTCCCCGGTGGTATTTATTTCAGCTGCTCATCTCTGACCCCCACCAGGGACTGACGGCACAGAAACCCTGTGCTGCCCGGCCAGTGGGTTACCGTCTCACAGCACCGGCCACTTGCCCTGCACGTCGCCCCCACCAGCCTACAAGGGACCATTGCTGGGCCCTGGGCCCCTTTCCCTGTGGAGGCTGGTGGTGTAATAAAAGCTCATTTCCACAGTCACAGACAGGCTTTGGCCTCCAGGGGGCAGCAGTGAGGACTGGCGCCCCAGATCCCTAGTTCCCTATAGACAGCCCAACCTCAGAGCGGGATGGGGAGGAGCATTTCAGACACCTGCAGCCTAATGGGAGATTCCTGTGTATTTCTAAGAACTTCTACCAGTGCAGAGAGCTCCCAAGTCTCCTTCCCCAGCGGTAACATTGGAAAACTCCTACGTCATCAACCAGGGTATTGACATGGATACGCTTCACTAATCTTAACCCTTCCCAGGTTCATGTGCACATGAGTGTGTCCCAGGGCTGCCCGCCCACTGGCTCATTCCTCCCCAGACCAGAGACAATATGGGCCCCGGTGGGGAGCCCGGGTTTGGCCTCCACTCCCCTCTGCCTTGGGGGAGATCACTTACCCCCAGACACAGTGCCCCATGCTGCTCCCTGGGGGGCAGTGGCTGTCCTTCCCTGTGAGGTGCGCCCCCTCCAATTCCGTTCAGAATGGCTCAGACCCAGGGAAAATAGCTGGGGAGTGGGGGTCACAGGGCTACAGCCCTCACCCTCAGGCCCACACAATCCACCTTCCAGTCACCTGCCCATCTGGTCCTGGGGTCGTGGGGGATGTTAGCATCAAGCAAGAAGAGGAATCAGACTCTTGGGGTAAGGGGGAGAGGGGCCATCTTGCAGCCCTGGTGACAGTAGGCGACCTGAGTCCTGTAGATGCTGAGGAGTGGAATGGGGGCTTCCACAGTGATTATTCAGGAGAACCCCCCCGACCCTGGAGCCCATCCCAGAGCTCGACCCTGGGCTTTTGGGCAGGAGGACTGCCCTCCAGCCTCCTGGCCACCTCCTGGGGGGGTGGGGGGTCCCGCAGTAGGGGACAGCATCGGCCTTGCCTCCTCAGCCCCACCTTGGACATGAAGGAGCTGGCTGGGCCTGGGAATGTGCGTTAAACCCCTGCATTCATTTCCTAGGGTTGCTGTAACCAAATACCACAAAACAGGTGACTTAAAACAGTAGACAGTTATTCTCTGACAGTTCCAGAGGCAAGAAGTTTGAGATCCGGGCGCGGCCAGGGTCGGCTTCTTTTGGGGGCTCCACACGCCAGTGACTCAGGCTGCTGTCCCGGCTCGTGGTGGCCGCTGGCAGTCGCCACGTTTCTTGGCTGTGGCTCCGTCACCCCAGCGTGTGTCTTTGTGGTTGCGTGGCCTTCTTCCCTACATGTATTCATTTCTTCTCTTAAAAATTTTATTTTAATTTATTTGAGAGAGAGCAGATGCGAGTGGAGGAGAGGGGCAGAGGGAGAGAGATCTTAAGCAGGCTCCACGCTCAGTGTGGAGCCTGATGCAGGGATCGAGCCCACGACCCTGGGATCCTGACCTGAGCCAAAATCAAGTCGGATGCTCACCCAACTGAGCCACCCAGGCGCCCCCCCAACAGTGTCCCCTTCTTGGATGGACACCAGCCACACCAGATTTAGGACCTACCCTACTCCTGTGTGACCAACATTTAATTACACCTGCAAACCTGCAAAGACCCCTTTTCCGAATAGACTCACAATCGGAAGTTCCCGGCTGACGTGAATTGGGAGGAGACTCGATTCGGCCCAGCACAGCCCCCTCTCTGCTGGCCCACCTGCCAAGGGGCCTTCACACGAGTGAGGTGGACCGGGTGCCGCTGCCCAGGGTGCACCCCTCCCTGGAGGCCGTCCAGGCGCATGGAGCCCAGCAGAGCAGCCCCTCCCGCACCTTGTCCCTGAACTCAGTGGACACGTAGTAGTAGATGAAGGGGTCCACACAGCTGTTGAGGGTGCTGAGCGCCAGGCTGGGCACGTAGGCGGCGTACAGATTTCCCCAGGCGTCCGGGCCCGGGTCTGAGTAGTGCAACAGTAGCAGCGTGTTGCTGGGCACGAAGAAGGCCATGGCCGAGGCCAGCACCAGTGCAGTCAGCCTCCGTGCATGCCCGTAGCGCCGGCCACCGGCCGCCAGCGCGACCAGGGTGGCCCCGTAGGTCAGCAGCATGGCCAGCAGCGGCAGGAAGCAGCCGAGCACGGCCAGGCAGATGAAGGCAGGCCGCCAGTAGGTGGCCTGGGCGCCCATGGGCAGCACGTCATGACACAGCATGTGGTCCGAGCGTGACAACCGGAAGGTCTGCCGCTGCAGCGCCAGGGGCAGCGCCAGAGCCACGGCCGCCAGCCAGGCCACGGTGCAGAGCCCTGCGGCCAGGCGCCAGCCTCGCAGGGTGAGGGCCCGCAGCGGGTGCACCACGCCGAGGTAGCGGTCCAGGCTGATGGCGGCCAGCAGCAGCACGGAGCCGTACATGTGGCCGTACAGCGCGGCCGTGGTCAGGCGGCAGGTGGCCTCGCCGAAGGGCCAGTGCTGGCCCTGCAGGTGGTAGGTGATGCGCAGCGGCAGCGTCAAGGCCAGCAGGAGGTCGGCGGCTGCCAAGTTCATCAGCAGCACGGTGGAGGGCAGCCGCGGCACCCGCGTGGCCAGCACCCACAGCGCCAGGCCGTTGGCGGGGAGCCCGACCAGCAGAGTCAGCCCGTAGAGCGCGGGCACCAGCCTCGTGGGCACCCAGCCCACCAGCAGCGCCCGAGAGCTGTCTAGGAGCTCCACGACGTCGCTGCGGTTGAACCAGGGCTGGCCGGGGAAGCTGCGCACTATGGATGGGTGAGGGGTCCCCTCCCAGGGCCCGGTCAGGGGCCCCAGTGTGCCATCTAGGGGGAAGGGGGACAGAGGTGTTTCAAGTCTAACCGTCACCCCCCACTCCCCACCGCCCAGCCGACCGTGACGCCCCTTAGGGGCTATGGTCCGGACCCCAGCTCTCTGGAGCCCCCAGCTCGGTGGGTCAGAGTTGGACACAGATGCCCCCAGCCCCGTGGGCTCTGGCCTGGGCTGGAGGGCCCCCCATGGCCCGTCTCCCCCCTCCCACCATTGACTCTAGGCCACCTGCCAGTGCCAAACAGGGCCCACGGTCACTCACCATCGCCTCCCCCTGTGCTCCCCAGCTCGTCGTAGGTGAGGGGGGTCAGGGTGCCATGTCCCAGGCTGAGCCCCAGCACCAGGGGCCACAGGGGCCACAGCAGTAGGAGGACACACATGCTGCCGAACCTGGCCACCGGCTGCTCTGGGCTGCGGCCGGCTGGGCTCCGGCTTCCTGCCTGGCTGGACCCCCACCCCCAGCTTCCTGACTGTCGGTGGGGGAGTGGGCGGGGCCTGGGGAGATAAAGCAGCCCCTGCCCCCACAGCCCATGGCAGGCTCGCTGCGGGGCCTGAGGAGTCTCGGTGGCTGGGGCTGGGGTCACTCAGTGACGCACAGGTGCCTGCTGGGGTCCAGGTGCTGGGCCAGCAGGGTGGGGGCAGAGGCTCCAGGCTGCAGTCCCCGCCCCCAGCACCCACGTTGCCCAGAAAGCCTCTGTGGGCCAAGTGGCCACTTCTTGCCACATCTATAGCCCCCCATTCCCATGACACCCCTCCAGGTCCCGTCCTCAGTCAGGGGTTCTTGGCCCCTCCCCCCCTCCTGTCTGTGGCTGGCTGGCCCAGAGCCCTGCCTCCCCAGGTCAGAGGTCAGAGCAGCAATTCTCCCCTTCTCCGAGCATCCCAGGTCCTCTGTGGGGGGGCTGCCCTGCCTTATCGCTGCCTCACACCCCTGCACCCTGCAGGCACAAAGGGAGGTGCAGAGAGGGGAGGGCACTCTCTGAGTCTGTGCATCCGCTGAGGGTGTCTGAGGAGGTCTTGGTCCTCAGCCTGGACCCACTATGCTGACCCCGTGCTCCCTTGGGGTGCCTACTTCTGGGAGGTGCCCATCCCTGGCTCTCGATGCCCCTTCTGGCTCCACCTTCAGCCTGGGAGCCCTGAGGATGGTCATGGCCATATCTGAGCCTGAGAGTGGAGGCCAGGCCAGCCCAGGAGACAGCCCCGCCCCCAGGCACCCCTCCACATCCCTGCACTGAGATGGGGACCCTCTGCGCACATTAAGACGGAGGGGCTCACAGGGGAGGGTACTCCGTCTCTCTTCTGCACACAATACCCCCTGGGGTCCCTCGAGGGCGAGGCCTCCACCTCCCTGCCCCAGGGAGCTCCAGCCTGGGGGTCCTAGATCTGTGTGGTCAGGGTTGGGCCACCGCGGTGGCGTGGCGGCAGGGGGATGGGGTCCGAGAGCAGAAGGAGCCCGAGGGGCGCTGAGGGTCAAGGAAGAAGAAATGAACTAGAAGTGGGAGAAGGGTGTGACGTGGCCAAGTTCTGGTGTGGCGAGCCTTAATCTAGCCACACTTGAGCTCACACGGACCAGCCAGGAAGTGACCGAGCAGCCCTGGACAGAGCCAGCGCCGCTGAGGGTGAGATGCCAAGGGGGGTAACCAAGGCCTAGAGAGTTAGAGCTGGGACGGGGTCTTAGCCAGGAGTCTCTTCCATTTCCAAGCTGTTCCCATGGGCACCAGTGACAAATGCAGCCCCACGCCTAGGTCTCTTGGCAACTCGTGACCCATGTCACTCTCAGGGCACAGGGAAACCCAGATGAGGACCCCCAGTGGCCCTCCAGGGGCAGAGCAGCGAGCCCACACAGGGCGGGGGGCTGGCAGCTGGGTGAGTCTGGGGCAGGGAGGAGCCCCCCCAGGAGGGAGGTTTGACTCAGCCGTTCTGTGTCTGGAAACTGAAGGCAGGCACACACGTGCAGGACATTTCCTTATGGGGTATTATTCCCAGCAGCACGGAGGCGGGGATGCCCATCACAGGAATAACCTGTGCCAGCAGGGGCAGGGTGGGGTGGGGTGGACTCTCCCCCTCCCCCAACACGGAAGGTGCAGGGCGACCCGTCATGGGCGAGGCACTTTCTGGGACGGGGCTGTGGGGGCGGGGTCGCTGGGGGCAGCTGCCTTTGGGGAGAGGGACTTGGGTGCCTACTTTTCCCCGTGTGCTCTTTTGTCCTGTTGGAATTTTTCCTATCATCTGTCACTTTCCATAAAAACATTTAAAAAAGTGTTTATTTTTGAGAGAGGGAGAGAGAGAGCGAGTGTGTGTGTGTGTGTGTGTGTGTGTGTGTGTGTGTATGAGTAGGGGAGGGGCAGCGAGCAGGGGACAGAGGATCTGAAGCGGGCCCAGCGCTGACAGCAGAAAGACATGTTTAAAAAGGCAGAATAGTAGCTTTAAAAAGAAAGGGGAATCTGGCATGAGATACACTGCAGTGTGAGTGGAACTTGAAGGCACTGTCACTCATGCCGAGTGAGATAAGCCAGGCACGAAAATATAAATACTACATGATCTCACGGATAGGCGGTCCCTCATGTGGTCAGGTTCATAGAGACAGGAAGTGGGAGGGTGGGTGCCAGGGGCTGGGGGAGGAGGAGGGGGAGTCAGTGGTTAATGGGGACAGAGTTCCATTTTGGAAGACGCAGGGTCCTGGAGATGGTTGGTGGGGATAGTTGCACAAAGCCCCTAAACAGGACACTTTTAAAATGGCTGAATTTTGTGTGTATTTTAATTCCATTAAACCCTTATTTAAAATGGTGGGGGTGGGGGGAAGCAGCCAGACCCGAGTCAGCAGCTAGTCCTGGACTTCCTCAGTTTCCAGCCCCGCCTGGAGCTCCGGGAGCCCCCAGAGCCTGTCCTGGCCCGGCTCACAGTCTCCAGTGGAAGATGCACCAGTTAGAGATGCCTCAAGTCCAACAGCATGCTTCCCGGGGTACCATGTTCATGGACATTGAGATTTCTTTATGTTGTGCTTCGGGGGCAGGTGGGCGCCCACCACCATGTGTCCAGCTGCCCTTATTCCCGGGCTGGACCTCAGCCTGCAGGCAGGGACATCAGACCCCTGCCGACCCAGAGGGTGCTCTGAGCCCGGTGCACCGTGCTCCAGGCTTTGAGGTCCAGCTCTCCCAGCCCCAGGTGCCCCATGCCCCCTCCCCGGGACCTTGATCCAAGGTGCTCAGTGGTGCCCTGCACTGGAGACCCTTGGGCAACCTTCCAGCAACGACCTTCACGGAGTTGCTGGGTGCGTTCAGACCTCACCCCACACCCCAGTCCCTCAGTCTCATGCCAGGCACGTCCTACCTCCCCCGGCCCCCACTCCAGCCCTCCTGAGGCTGCCTTTAGGTCAACTTGCTTTACAGAACAAATCAGCCTCCTTCTCAGCCACCAGATTTGATGGGCTGGTGCCCGGTTCAGGGCCTCAGCAGGCTGCAGGCTAGGTGTCCCCAGGGCCAGGTCCACATCAGCACCAGTCATGCCCCCTTCTCAGCGGGGCTGGCAGAAGACCCTCTCTCCAGTTGCTCCTTCTGGAACCTGATCACAGCCGGAGGCCCTTCCCACTCCTGGGACCAGGTGTTCCGCCCTGGAAGCTGCAGCAGCCACAGGCTTGCACCCCAGGACACCCCTCCTCAGGACGCCCCTCCCAGCTTCTGACCAGACGGCCAGTCTGTGGGCACAGAGGGCCCTGCTTCCTGGGCTCAGGGCAGGAGGAGTCTGGGACAGCACCAAGCCTCGCTCCCCAGGAGTCCTGACCCCCTGGAGGGGGAGGCATGCAGCACCAGGGGCATTGATGTGAGGCGGGGTGTAGATGGGCAGAGGGGTTCCCTAGAAGGCAGCAACGTCCCTCAGGGAGATTGGGGACACCGCCTGGAAGAGGACTGTTCAGGTGGGCAGTGCAGACTTGGCTCAGGGATCTGGGAGGGGAGGCCTGGCGGTGGGCACCGAGGGGGTGGGGAGGGGAAAGGCTGGCCAGGGCCTGCACGTGGTCATGGGGTGTCAGCTAAGAGGGTCCTAATTAGCACTGTGGTCTCCCAGGGACCTGGAGGTGGGGCTAGATGGGAGCAGGTCCAAGTGAGTTCAGAGGACATGGTGATGGGGAGGACACAGGAAATGTACTGAGCGGTAGGTGGGGCATGGGGGGGGGGCAGCTGGGAGCAGGGACCAGAAAGCCAGGAGGGTGGCTCTGCAGGGGGTGGGTAAGACCCCTCTGGCTGGCTGGGCAGGGGAAGAAAGCTCAGAGTGAACACCAGTGTCTTTAAATTAGGTTCCACCGACCCCTAATGCTGGAAGGAAACACCTCTCCTTTCTACAGAATACAAAATTGGGAATGAATGTTCCAGAACACTGGGTGGGTTGACACCCTTGGGGAAACAGGACCTTCCAGTGGAGGTGGCCTGGGGGAGGGTTCCGCGTTTGGTTTGGGAACTGCAGGAGCCTAGGCGCAGATACCCCCAAAGGGGTCCCCTGGGGATGGGGGGGGTATTTCAGGGACGAGAAACGACTGAGGGGATCTCACAGATTTAGGTCAATATTTAATTTTTAACTTTAATGTGCAAATAAATAGAAAAGGAAAACTACATTCAAAACAGCTGCAAAGGAAGTACAAGCCCCAGAACAGAAATTCTTCAAAAACAGAAGAGATGCTCCCTAGAAGCATGCAGGGTGGGGCTCGGTGGGGTCTGGCCCACAACCCGGGCCCACGAGGAGGCACGAGGGGGCCGCGGGCTCCGAGGAGGATGGCTGCTGGGAGGATCTGGTTCAGGAATTCTGGGAAGTTCCCTTCTTACAAAACAAGGATGTAGACAAAGTGCCTGGCACACGTGGGCAAAAGCGGGCTTGGGGACCCGGGCAGGGCCACTCACTGGCCTTGGAATTGCCCAGGCCCCGAGCCAAAGGCTTTGCAAAACTTCAGTTCCACAGGTAACTTCTAGAAACTTCTAGAAACACATCTCCACTTCCCAGAACGGCGAATTTGGCACAGCGCAGTTTTGGGAGGGTGAGGGCTGCTGCTTGGCAGAAACGAGGCTGCAAGGAGATGGGTCTGGGCCCCTGTTGGTTGATCCCACTCTGATGGTGCCAGGAGCCCAGCCAGGGCTCCTCACGGTGCAGGAATCTTAAAGAGCGGGTTGCCTAGCCGAAACCGCTTGGCATTCGTGGCCCAAAAAGCCCCGGACGCCTTGGAGGCAGCCTCAAGGGCATGGCTGCAGAGGCCCGAGAAGAGGGCTCTCACGCCCAAGAACCCATGGGGCGTGGCTGATTGCAGAGGTGACAACCACTAAGAGAGTGTACGAATAAATACGTGTGCATATATATATTTCTAGAAGGTCCATCTTAGGTACACGACTGCACCCCAGCTGTGGGGCCCCTTGAG